TCTAGGGTTTAGGATCCTCTTAATCCTGGAAAAATTTCAAGATAAGCGTAGACACTGTTCCGGAGATGTGAAGGGGTGAAAGTGATGGTTTCTCATTACTTTCATGGAAATCATCACTTTCACCCCCTTGTATCTCCGGAACCGTGCCTACGCTCATCTTGAAATTTTACTGGGATTAATGTTTCATCTAATAATACTATTTAACATTTAAAAAAGTTTAAAATTCGAAGTCAAAAAAATAGGCGAAATTTGCCATCACTCTTTCCATTAAAAAGAAAAAATCAATTACAAGAGAATAATTAATAAAATATATTCTAGTTCTCCGATATAGGAATGTTGTGAAAACATTACACACAATAATGGCATCATTAAATGACAAAAATTTCATAATAATTGCACTAAGATGATTCGCCATGACGCAACAGTTTTTGTCAGAATAAAATTTTTAAATAATATTTGTCAAAAATTAGACAAATCTAATTTGAAATATAAGCATGTTATAATTATTGCAATACTTACAAATATAAAATCACTTTAATATTTGTCATAATATAATATATAGTAATATTTGTTATATTATTCTCAGACCTAATATTTATATTTCAATTATTGAGTTAATTAAATATTTACTATTTAATTTCTCTTTTAAAATTTTATCTTGCTAAATGAATAATATTTTGATATTTCTACATTAGAATTTAGGTATAATTGTGCATATATTTGATTTGATTTATTTCCTTTATGTGCGCCATTATATTTCTAAATGTTTTAAACATTATCAACTAAAATATTTTTCTCAATTATTGGACAATTTCTTTTTAAATTTAATTCGGCAAATCTGTCGCTAAGATGATTTGCTATATCATTTCTGTTTTGTCGAAATACTATTTTGAAGTAAATTGCACAAACAATTATTAATATTTTATAAAAGATCAGTATTATTACATCTGTTTTTTGTAAATACATCTATATAATTGCAGAATTTTAGTTTTTTACAAGATTTCATCATATAATTTTATAATACTTTCCTATCGGTTAGCATTTTCTTGAAAATTTTGAATCCTTTTTATAAATATTTTTAAAATAAACCAACTGTCTCTAATCATAATTTTATAATAATTATAATTTTAAAGACTGGAAAGAAAATTGGTTTTTTTCAATTTTTCCGCGGATTTTTTTGGTTTTTTTCTCAAGGGAGAAAAATTCAGTGGAAAATTTCATGTATTTGAAAAACCTATCATATTTCACATTTGCAACACTTTGATACACTTTTCAAAATTTTAAAATTTTACAACAAGCATATATGTATTGCTGATAATGTTAAATACAAAAAAATAAAAAGTTGATTACACAAGAATAATAAACAAAAAAACAGGATTAATGTATTTTTCAAATAAAACGTATGGCTCTTGACAATTATTAATAATCGAAACTCTTTAAAAATACTTAATATAAACATTAACTTAAATTAATCTTTACACTAAATCCTCACCTCAAGGAATGTAGTATAGGAATATAGTATTCAAATGTAAACATAAAAATTAACTCATTATTAATTCGTTTATACGAGGTGTCTTATTTTAATAATACTATATCTAATTTAAACAAAAAATTTGCACATTTTAACGAGCAAATTAAAATAAATCACATAAAGTCACTTACATTACTTTCTGAATCCCAATTAATATTTAATATGATGAAAAATATTAAAAATTATATCATTGACAGCAATTTTTTGCAAAAGAAATCAATTTTTCAGAAAAAAAACCGAAATTTTCCTGGTTTTTTTTCAACAATTTGAAAAAAGCAGTTTTTTTAACTATAAATAATAATTTAAAAAGATCCTTATCGGAGTTAATTAAAATCGACATTTATTTAATACATCAGGTGACTCTGAGAGGCTGTGAGGTGATCTACGACGGCTGTCCCAGATCGTACTCGGACGGTCTGTGGTGGCCGCGTACTCTTTTCGGGATGACAGCCATCGAGGATTGTCCCGGGACCGCCGAAGGCAAGACCTCCAGATCCTGCGACGACAAATTAGGCGGCTGGCAACCGCCCGATCTCTTCAACTGCACTTCGGAGGCCTTCGTCGAGCAACGGCACCAGTTGGCGGCTCTGGAGACCAAGGATCTCACGCTGAACACCTACGTAGCTGTGAAGATGGCGAGGGACGTTCACCGAGCGGTGAATATTACGAGAGAGATGTACGGGGCGGATCTCTTGGTGGCGGAATCCCTGCTGGTGGCGTTGCTACGTTACGAGGAGAGCCTGGTGGGACTGAATCTGACTCACAGCCAGGACAAGGATTACGTCTCCCATCTGGTCGGCATAGCCGGAGCAATTCTGCAGTCCAAATATAAGGAAGAATGGGAAAGGATAGGAGAACTTGTCGGGGATAGCCCCGACAAGATTCTAGACGCTATGGCGAGATACTTGAAGACTTTAACGGCGTCTCAACATGATACTTTTACCAATCCCTTTGAAGTGGTCAATAATAACGTTGGTGAGTGCGAGATTCATCTTTTTCTTTCAGTTTAAGAGGATGCTGAATGGTCGGGAATTACCGACAATTGCAGTTGGAACGATAACTTCGAAAATACTGAACGGAATTAAAATCGCTTTTACAGGATTGAAATAAACATAAAATGTAATGGGGCGAGCTATTTTTTTGTAGTAAAAACGACAAAAATTAAAAAATTATCTTTTTTCGAGTTGTACAGCAATCATAACTTATCACT